CTTGAATGTTTAAGAAACTGAAAGAATTTTTTGAAAATCTCGTTGACTAGAAGAGACAAACGTATAGAAGATAGTCGAAGTAGCAAAAGTTACTGATCTTGTCAATTCTGTAACATGAACAAGAGTAACAATACTCTCACATTCTAGCTCGATATCCGAAGATATTTTGTATCTATATTCACAGATGTGCTTTGAGTCATTTTGTAACACCAGAATCGAGACCGAGAACTTGGATAATTATTAGCTTATCACTCTATATTTGATTGATCAAACCTATTGTTGGGTGAGACCGTCTTTTTCTTTTCATTTTGTATACAATCATTTGCGTTCCGGAAATCTATTCGATTTCTCGAAAGTCATCGACTTTTTTAAAACATTCTGTAAATTCTTCTATATGCTTCGATTTCCTTCATTTCTGGAAAATAGAAAATCGTTTCATAGATTCAATTAATGTATCATAATCATTCGAGTCATCTAGAACAATCGACTGATACATAGTATTATTGAAATATTGAATAGCTGTCTAGGCTTTATCAATATAAATCATCATATCAAAGACATTATTATTTCATAAAAGATAATCAAAAAATATTATATATACTAATTTAATTAATCTGTTGTGAAAAAAAAAGAATATCTTAACCATCAAAAGACTTGAATATAACCGATTTCTGAGTAGTTCAATCTTAACTATTAGAGATCTCGTGAACACAAAATTACCAATGAGATCGGTCGAATAATCCCGAGATAAAACAATTACACTTTATAACTGTCCATCAATAATCACTAAAAGCATAAGTTCTATAGGCTAATTAGAAGAAATATTACTATAGGAAAATGTTATCACTCGAGAGTTTATGAAACTACATCAATGTTCTAAAACTGTATGTCTTTCAAAAACAAAATCCACGACTTCAATTCTAAAATCATAATTAATTTACACTATTCTTATTCCTGGATGTGGGTGTGTTGGTGTGTTGGTGTGGAACTGAGCGGATGTGGGTCTTCTATTCTTCTTCAAAACCTACACCCACACCCATCTATAACTTGGGGATTGATACATAATTTACCAGAGTAGGGCAGGACAGAGCATCAAGGCAGCCCTGTCCTAATGACGTTCTCTGATCGGTACCTTCATAGGATAGCCATTGCGCCTTCTCCTTATAGCCTTATTTGACCTTTAACCTTTGATCCGGCACAGAGAAACCGACACACAGACACTGAACAATATATAAATAGATAATAGTTTTCGAGTACAAA